CCCTGCATGGAGGGTGCTATAAGTGCAAGTTGTTGTTGTAATTTACCTGCCTTTTCCCCACACCCCTGCAGTTTATGCCTTTCTAGGTAAATAAAGGTTCCCTTTTGAAAACTAAAATGGATTCTGCCTGAACCACCTCTCCCATCAGGACATTCCATGTCCTAACCATTCTGTGTGAAAAAAAATCCTAACCTCCCCATTTGCTCGTTTACTAACTGTCTTAAATTGATGCCCTCTAGTCACTGACTCAATAACCAGTGGAAATATAGTCTCCCGATTGATTGCCTATATACCAAAACCCCTCATCATTTTAAAGACTTTGATAAATGTCACCCCTCAATCGTTTTTGTTCCAATGGAAAACATTTCAGATCCTCCGGTCTCTGTTCTGAAATAATAATTCTTGCATTTGATATAGCGCCTTATCACATCATTGAGATGCCTTAAAGCACTTCATCGAATACACTGTAAAGTGAATTGACTGTATATTTTTGTGGGCGAAATGCAGCAGCGAATGGATTGTGTGACCAAATTATTATTACTTAAATCCTGTATTAATAGAGTAAACCTAAATGGAATTTCAATCTCAATAGTGTCAGTCCTACCATTAAAGACTTATTTTATGTGTCTCTGTGGAATACATTTCATTATGCTGTGTGTTGTCTCTATATAGAAAAAGATTAAGAGGTGACCTGATTGAAGTCTTGATGATTCTGAAGGATCATGATAGGGTGAATAGTGACAGGTCATTTCACTCGTCACAAGTTAGTTATGACCGGGCACAAATTTAAGACAATGATAAAGAGGGAAATTAAAGGGGAGGTGACAACTTGGATTCTCTGTCATCAATCCAAATTGAAGCAGAGTCTGTTAATTTTTTTTAAAAGGGAGGGAGATAGATGCTTGATAAGGATGAATATTAAAGGGATGTGTAATAGTCATAATAATATTATTCCTTGCATTTGATGTAGCACCTTTTCATGTCGTTGAGATGTTTCAAACCCTCTTCGCAGGATTTTAATAATAATAATAATCCTTGCATTTGATATAGCACTTTATCATGTTGTTGAGTCGTCGCAAAGCATTTCACAGAATATAATGTAAAACAAATTGATTGTGTATTTTGTGGGTGAAATACGGCAGCCAATTAAACATAGCAGTGTCCCACAAACAGTCATAGATTAAGTGACAAAATTATTAGTTATTGTTGTTACTGGGTGGAGTGTCACCATGGAGGATGGGCTTGATTCCCAACATTCTTTTACCGAGCATGTCACCTTGGAGCCAGTTCAGCTCGGCGGAGACCCAAGTTGATAGTCATGACTCGATCACTAGTTACAAAATCTTTGTACAAAACAGCTAATATTGCATCAGGCTCTTGCAAACTACGAGCATCTGTTAAGTGAATCAAAGGAGAAGAAATCGGTTACTTGCCAAACATTAATCACATTGAAAGACGACGGTCTTATCGCTAAAGCTTTGAGACTGATATTATCACTGCTCTGCTGTGTACAATGGGACGAGATTGTGGAATCTTGTAGCATAGTGGTTAGTACGCTCGACTCACAAGCGAAAGGACCCAAGTTCAATTCCTGGGCAGGGTGAAACCATAGGCAAATTTCCTTACTCCACACGCCTCTGTTTATCTTGTTGTTACATGTTGTTTAGCAGTAAGTAGGAACCCAGTTGTTAGTCAATTAGTGGATCGGTTTCCGGTGGAGGTAAAAATCCCTCCAAAAAATAAATAAATAACAACAATAATTTGATCACTCAATCCATGACTGTTTGTGGGACACCGCTGTACACAACTGGCTGCCGCATTTCTCCTACAAAATATACAGTCAATTCACTTTACAATTGATTCTGTGAAGCGCCTTGAGTCGTCTCAATGATGTGATAAGGCACCATATTAAGTACAAGGATTATTATTATATTGATGGGTACAAATTGGCTGCTGCGTTTTCCCACAAAATGCACAGTCACTACACTTTACAGTATATCCTGTGAAGCTCTTTGGGACGTCCTCCTGATGTGAAATGTGCTGTATCAAATGTAAGCATTATTACTATCATTATTATGTTCCCTCCCAAATTTGTTCAAGTGATTTCAACTGCTGATCCTGAATCCAAGTAATTGATGCCAGTTCCATGAATCTCAGCTTCCAGGTAAAACCATTCAAACAAAGTCAGGGGGTAGGGAGATTCTCCTTTGCTGCAGTTACAATGGTTGAGCCCTGACCAGCCCACAAAAATAATACCAATGACAACATTCCCTGTATTTAATAATTCTTACATTTGATATAGCATAATATCATGTCGTTGAGACGTCTCAAAGTGCTTCACAGAATATACTGTACATTGGATTCACTATGTATTTTGTGGGTGAAACACGGCAGCCAATTACACAAAAAACCCCACCAACAGCCATAGATTGAATGACCACATTTTGTCTTGAGGGATTATTATCCCCAAAAAATGATCCACCAATCGACTAACATTCTTACTTACTGCTCGGTAAGCAGAGACGTGCGGAGTAAGAAAATTTGCCTAAGGTTTGGCTCCGCCAAGGAATCGAACTCAGGTCCTCTCGCTTGTGAGGCGAGCACACCAACCACTTGGCTCCGGGACTCCATTTAACACCACGCTGGTCAAAATGTCTCAAAGTCTTTCAGAGTTTTCTGTACAGTGTATTAATTACTGTAAGTGGCCCCTACCAAACGGCCAGTTCCCTCCGCTCAGCAGGCTCCGGCCTGCATCATGTCCCCTGCCTCGCCCGCCCCACCATTGGCGGGCGGAATTCAGCCACTTTGCCCCCACCGACTGAAACTCCAACCCACAGTCCCTCTGCCTCACCCCCTCCCTTGCCTCCTTCAAGACCCGTCTCAAAACCCTCCTCTTCGACCGTGCTTTCAATCACCCTCTTTCCCCGCTGCCCTCCACCCTCCCAGATCCCGACCCCCAGCTCGGGGCTGAAAAGCTGAATGTCCAGCATCTTGGGACATCCTCCCAATGTGAAAGCCGCTATACAAATGTAATGTTGTTGTTGTTTGTTGCTGTTGTTGTATATTTGTATTATTATTATTATTATTATCATTTGTAGTTGAACACAGCAACAATTTGTGCACAGCAACAGGTGGGAAATCAATGATCAATTTAACTGTAAGATTGTCAGTCAGAGTAACGAGATTAAAATAGAGAGCACCAGTGTGGGGAGGGAGCACCAGCACAGACACGATGGGGAGAGAGCAGGGAATGGGATTAGAGTAGAGAGCTCCAGTGGGGTAGCGAGCACCAACACAGACACGATGGGGAGTGACAGGGTTGTGAGAGACTAAACAGACTTCTGGCACAGATAAAGTGGGACAAATAGCTTCCCTCTGTGCTGTAACAATCTGTGATTTTCTGATGTTGGCGAGTCCATGAACCAGAGACGTCTCAGTGTGAGTCTAAATGCTGTGGTTGTGAAATGTGTAAATACAGCAACCAATCTGTGCCAGCAGACAACTCTGCAGCCATGGGAACTCGGTGCCGGGGGGGAGCAGGAGGGGAGGGGAAGACAATCATGGGCACAAGCCCACAGAGCGCTGTCTGACCCAGGTCTCTACTTGTCACGGGCCAGCAAGGCTCCGCAGTCCATTAAGACAAGAGGGACTGATTATTGGAATAATAGTAATAATCTTTGCATTTGATACAGCACCTTTCACAAAGTGCTTCACGACATTTACTGTTAAGTGCAGTGACTGTGTTTGTAGGCGAACGTGGCAGCCAGCTTTGCACACAGCAACATCTCCCCAAACAAACATGAAGTGAGTGATCAATTTTATCAGGGAGAAGGCGAGGGATTATTAGTCAGGACACCAGGAGAAAATTCCTTTTCTTTTTGAATAGCTCATAATAATATAATAATCCTTGTATTTGATATAGCGTCTTATCACGTCGTTGAGAACACCCACAACCACCACCCCACACAACACCCCCCCACACCCACACACACACCCCCACACACCCACACACAACCACCCCCCACACCACCACCACCACACACCACACCACCCCCCCACCACACACTCCTCCCACACCCACACACCCCCCACACCCACAACCCCCCACCACACACCACCCACACCCACAACACCCCCCCACCACACACACCCCACACCCACACCACCCCACCCCACACACCCCCACCCACACACCCCCCACCACACCACCCCCCCACCACACCCCCCACACCCACAACACCCCCCACACCCACAACACCCCCCACACCCACAACACCCCCACCCCCACACCACCACCCCACACCCACCACACACCCACCCCCCACACACCCACCCCCCACCCACCCCCCCCACACCACACCCATCCCACACCACCCCCACCCCACACCACACCCCCCCACACACACACCCCACCACACACCCCACCCACAACACACACACACCCACAATGTGCGGGAAAAACTCCTTTGTGGAGGGTGCTGATTTAAAAAAAATTTAACCAGAAAAACTCCCCTTTCCTTTTTAAGTACCTATCAAATTCCCTTTTGAAAGCCCTAAATCTGCTGTTCTGGCGCTACCCCATGTAGGAGGTGACATGTTAATATCGGGCTACTTTTTGGTGGGCTTTGGGCTACAGACTTTACTTTTAATTTCTGGCCAATCCCAGGCTTGCCAAAAATTAAGAATACATT